TACATAATAGGAACAGTGTTGTTCTAAAGTAAGGGTGACATCTACATAATAGGAACAGTGTTGTTCTAAAGTAAGGGTGACATCTACATAATAGGAACAGTATTGTTCTAAAGTAAGGGTGACGTCTACATAATAGGAACAGTATTGTTCTAAAGTAAGGGTGACATCTACATAATAGGAACAGTATTGTTCTAAAGTAAGGGTGACGTCTACATAATAGGAACAATGTTGTTCTAAAGTAAGGGTGACATCTACATAATAGGAACTGTGTTGTTCTAAAGTAAGGGTGACGTCTACATAATAGGAACAGTATTGTTCTAAAGTAAGGGTGACGTCTACATAATAGGAACAGTATTGTTCTAAAGTAAGGGGTATGAGATAACACGTGACCAATCAGAGGCTGCTTAAGTATGAGATAACACGTAACCTATCAGAGGCTGCTTAAGTATGAGATAACATGTGACCAATCAGAGGCTGCTTAAGTATGAGATAACTTGCGACCAATCAGAGGCTGCTTAAGTATGAGATAACATGCGACCAATCAGAGGCTGCTTAAGTATGAGTAATGATATAAGGTGTAATTTTCTGAAGGAAAGCTATTTAATTTGTGATATTATATAAATTAGAATAAGCATTTATTCCTCTAAAAGATATAATGATAGTGGTGGAATTAGAATTTAATAATTATACTGTGCAAAATGCAACATGAAGTGAAAGTAAAAATATGTAGGTTGAGTAGGTTATGTTAAAATGATTTAATAAATCGAAAGAATTAGTTTTAATACTGGATACTCAAATGCATAATATACTGATATTAAATATTTATAAAATAATTAATTTTCCCTTTCATGTATTTAAGTTTCATGATAGTGAATATTAAAATATTTTTTGTCAAATCTTTTTAAAAATATATTGTTTTATAATTAAATGTTTATATTCAGTCCCCCATATTATTTCATAGAATTTATTAGTTATTAAAATACCTTCGTTTCTGTGTACCTTTTCTTTTTATTCAAGCACAATTCTCCGAAGATTAACAAAAATACCAAATTTTTACTTTCAGACCATAATTTATTTTTATATTTGATAAAACTTTTCACACCATACTAAGATAATATTCTTAACCAAATGTGCATGGCATTGAAGAAGTAATGTTGACTAACCAAATGTGCATGGCATTGAAGAAGTAATGTTGACTATAACTGAATTTACTACGTGTATCTTCATGAAATGTAGCAAACAGTACAATTCTGTTGTACACAAAACAACAAGATGTCTGTAAATTGATGAAGTCAGTCTGACTCAGAATTTGCAAAATGTTGGAGTACGAGGAGATGATCATGTAAACTTCAAAAATACTTTTCCCAGCATGCAGTTTACATATTGTATTTGCAAGATCTCTAATACATCCTAAATGTACATCTACAGTTTCTTTCAGTATCCTGCATATTGTATCTGATGGTATTTCTAACACAAACTGTCCCAACATCAACAGACAAGAGTAAAACAAAAAGCTGATTGCTCTCATGTCAAATTAATAACACTATGTTGAATGACACTTTGTACAAGTTTGTGGCATGAGCACTTTGATCCCCATCCATCCATGCTCATGGGGTTAACCATAACTTTCTTTATTAGCCCTACAGGTTTCAAGAAAGAAGAATGTTATAACAGAATCTTCACTACCCACTTCACATGTTTGGTGATACAGAAAACAAGACGAGACCCTTCACGTACATACAAAGCTTCAGTTGAAATACTGCTATATCGTTGATGTGTGATCTGGTTTTAATCAAACTACCTTGTTGGTAGCAGTATGAAGAATGAGCAGTTAAAATAATGTTATACATTCTACTTCTTGGATACTCACATTAGGCCTTTACTCAAAGAAAAATTTTAACTTTGTGATGTAATAACATACTAGCTACCAATCAAAACACTATGCTAGTTTAGATATTATGTAGTTTTAGAATTGTTGTAATTTTATGTAACTTAGATAAATATTGCATGTTTCAATTAGTACTTGTATTCTAGAAATGCATATATCTTCCAAATTAAAGATAAAATCCTACAGAATGATAATATTTACCTCTCTTTCCTTATGTTTATCTATGAAACAAAGTGTCACCACATTGGCATGAGTAGCCTTCTCCATGTTCACACTCCTCGCATCGATGGCCTGAGCCAAGTACTTGTTGACCCTATTTGTCGGCTGATGATAAACTGACGAGTGCCTATGACAACAAGAGAAACATTTCAGCCACTCTTACAACATTGTTTCTATTGTCTACATGTCACCCTTACTTTAGAACAATACTGTTCCTATTATGTAGACGTCACTCTTACTTTAGAACAACACTGTTCCTATTATGTAGACGTCACCCTTACTTTAAAACAACATTGTTTCTATTGTCTACATGTCAATGAGATAACATGCGACCAATCAGAGGCTGCTTAAAAATTAAGCAGCCTGTGATTGGTTGCATGTTATCTCATACTTAAGCAGTCTCTGATTGGTCACATGTTATCTCATACTTAAGCAGCCTCTGATTGGTCGCAAGTTATCTCATACTTAAGCAGCCTCTGATTGGTCACGTGTTATCTCATACTTAAGCAGCCTCTGATTGGTCACGTGTTATCTCATACTTAAGCAGCCTCTGATTGGTCGCAAGTTATCTCATACTTAAGCAGCCTCTGATT